TCTGCCCCTGCTGCAATCATCCACATCTGCCCTGCTGCGATCCTCCGCATCTGCCCCTGCTGCAATCATCCACATCTGCCCTGCTGCGATCCTCCGCATCTGCCCCTGCTGCAATCATCCACATCTGCCCTGCTGCGATCCTCCGCATCTGCCCCTGCTGCAATCCTCCACATCTGCCCCTGCTGCAATCCTCCACATCTGCCCATGCTGCAATCCTCTGCATCTGTCCCTGCTGCAATTTTCCACATCTGCCCCTGCTGCAATCCTCCGCATCTGCCCCTGCTGCAATCCTCCGCATCTGCCCCTTCTGCAATCCCCCGCATCTGCCCCTGCTGCAATCCTCCGCATCTGCCCCTTCTGCAATCCCCCGCATCTGCCCCTGCTGCAATCCTCCGCATCTGCCCCTTCTGCAATCCCCCGCATCTGCCCCTGCTGCAATCCTCCGCATCTGCCCCTTCTGCAATCCCCCGCATCTGCCCCTGCTGCAATCCTCCGCATCTGCCCCTTCTGCAATCCCCCGCATCTGCCCCTGCTGCAATCCTCCGCATCTGCCCCTTCTGCAATCCCCCGCATCTGCCCCTGCTGCAATCCTCCGCATCTGCCCCTTCTGCAATCCCCCGCATCTGCCCCTGCTGCAATCCTCCGCATCTGCCCCTTCTGCAATCCCCCGCATCTGCCCCTGCTGCAATCCTCCGCATCTGCCCCTTCTGCAATCCCCCGCATCTGCCCCTGCTGCAATCCTCCGCATCTGCCCCTTCTGCAATCCCCCGCATCTGCCCCTGCTGCAATCCTCTGCATCTGCCCCTGCTGCAATCCTCCACATCCACCCTGCTGCAATCCTCTGCATCTGCCACTGCTGCAATCCTCCTCATCTGCCTCCGCTAAGATCCTCCACATCTGTCCCTGCTGCAATTTTCCACATCTGCCCCTGCTGCAATCCTCTGCATCTGCCACTGCTGCAATCCTCCTCATCTGCCTCCGCTAAGATCCTCCACATCTGTCCCTGCTGCAATTTTCCACATCTTCCCAGCTGCAATCCTCCACATTCACCCCTGCTGAGACCCTTTGCCCAAGTTACCAGGTCGGCATCCCTGAGCAGAGCAGCAGCACAGATAATGTAGAAAATTCACATACTATTCTGCATTGCTGTATAATGTATTGCTGGGATTTGTAGTCCTCTATAGCTGGTGGTATTCTGCATTGCTGTATAATGTATTGCTGGGATTTGTAGTCCTCTATAGCTGGT